CCGCTCCGCCAAGAGCCGCCGAGCTCTCGCGAGAACCGCCAGGAGAGCGCGGGCAGCGCGAGGCGGCAGCGCCCCCGCACGGCCGGAGGTGCGCGCAGCACGCGCATGCGCCGTGCGGCATCGGGCCTGTCCGAGGGGTTATTTTATATGCCAAGCTGTACAGCAAATACACTAAAATAAGTAAAATAAATCAGGTCCGACGCACAAGAGACTCCCCTCTTATTAAAAAAAAAAAAAACATAAGGCAGGTTAGGACATTTGGTACTGAACAAACTTGAGCACTGAACGTCCAGATATGACTCATTGCTGGTTAATGAAGAGCCTCGTGTTAACTCTGCAGGGAGCGGTCTTAGCACAACAACATTGTGTGGTAATGGCCAGGTCATTGAAACTAGGAGAATAACTAAAAAAACAAAAAACAAAAAAACCTCCCCCACCCCCCCAATAGAATGCAAGGGTTGTGCCACAAGACGCTAACCAAAACACAAGAGAATTTTATTTTCAAGCACAAGTCTAAAATGACTAATACATTAACATAAGCTCGCAAACTAAACCAGCGCTACGGAAATGCCAGAGGTCCCTAATAAACTCTACTGTAAAAAACGCAAGACTTGTTGTGGTTTCAACACCGCCGTGACTTCGTACTAGAGGATCACGTACTGCGGCCCCTGCCCCTCTCCCCCTTCCTCAAGGACATTGAGAAACACCGCGAGGACGTAGCTCGTCTGAAACTTCACGTAGCCCTTCTAACACACTCATCACAGTAATGTTCAATCCAAATGGTTTGTGCATCACACTGTAAACATAATTTTTGACACTGCAGTTTTCACTTTTTACAGTGAAACATTTAGCTGAACGCAAGCATTTGTTTAAATTAAAATCATTGGCAAATGCATGTCTTCCAATTATTTTTTTCCTTACCCTCTTTCCAAATTATTGTCTCCTTTATTTATGTATTTATTTTTCTTTAGGGAGGAAAATAATCTTTACCAATCTCCACACTAGCTAGAATATACCAATTTACAGCTTTCCTTAGAGCTAAAAATTCCAACTCAGCCCTTCTGAAGCATCCTATGCCCCACTTTGTCCCTGTATGATGAGGCTTGGGGTAGCTGCAGGGAGGATTATTTAAACCAGAACACAAACAAGCTCTAAATATTTTACTTCCCACAGGGATGCCTACCTTAGCAAGCTACCAACACTTCTGTTCGAAGACTGATTTGAACGAGCAAAATCAGGACACTGGTCGAACATCTATGATCTGCGGTTTTCTGCAGCTTGCAGCTATTTCTATTTGCATTGATGTTTAAACGTAGGACTAGGCTCCTTTTGATTTTGTCTCTAGAAAGCACTTTAAAAAAAGTGAAAGCTGTATATATATATACACACACACACACACACACATATACATGTACAGATGGGGAAGACCTGCTGTAGCAGTAACCAGCTCACTTTTTGTGTTGGAAAGATGAAGAGCAAATTCTTCTGTAAACCCATTGGGGAGCATCAGGCTCCACCTGATCCCGGTCAGTCATGCCCAAAGGATGAGCACCTCACAAGCAGACCTGGGAGCTGCCCTCACTCTTTACTCAGAGGGCTACGCCTGGGTGGGAGAATTCATGCACGGACTGTTCCTTCAGCAGATTCTGCCATACTTGAGCACTGTTTTGTTTCTACATGGAGCAAAAATATGTGGTTTATTAGGTTATTCCAGTGGACGCACTGGCAGAGAAAGCAGGCATGCTGAAATATGTGTCTGCTGTTTCCAAAAAGAGCCAAACAATTTCACTGGTTTAGAGAACTGGCCCAGACTGAGCTGACAGAAGAGAAGGTAGAAGGAACCTGCTGGGGGCAAGAGGCAGGCAGCACCCCAAACCAGCTTTGCCACTGCAGAATTTTAGCAGGGAAGAAACCTTAGAAAACTGCTAGTACAATCCAGTGTAGGAGGGTCAAAGATTTCCCTTGCATAGCTCAGCAGAAGCATGTATTCCTAAGGTATTAAGATTGATCCTTTTAATCCACTAAGTTTACAGATTCTGAGCAAAGACTCAACAGAATCCAAAGGAAATCTGGGACATTTTTGCCTTAAGCTTCACTTGGTAAAAGTGGATTAGAGGAAATCCTTCAGCAAGCAAGTGAACCCCCCAACTCCCACCAGCAGGAAGCCGCCACCTAATGCTCATGGACACACAGACGCACAGACTGAAATGAAGACAAGTGCATCATTTTCAAGTTGATTTTTGTAAATGGAAAAATGTATAAAATCTATCCATACATTAACAGATACAGGAAGTTACACAATCCAGTTTACACCTAAAGTAATAGCAATTAGTCCATAATAAGAACAGGGAAAAATTCCAATGTTGTCATTTGTCGGACGTCGCCGTAGGGCAGAGAACGGGCAGAGGGGAGAGGTGTTGACCCTCTTTTTCCCCTGTGTGTGCACATATGTAAAACTGGCTACCTTCCCTACTTTGAAAGCAATGAGACAATTTCAACAGACATGTATTAGGAATACCTTTGAAATGCATCTGACTCTAGCATTAACACTGAATATTCAAAGATTCATTTCATTACAACATAATATTTGGATGCTTCTGCCTCCAAAAAAGGGCTAGGGACAGTAGGTATTATCCAAGAGAAATCCTGCACCCATCTTTGAATTTCTAGCATTTACTTATGGATTTTTATTTTATGATTTTCATCCATCCTGGAACACTTAATTTGTGCATCCTCAGCTCAGACATTTACAAAGCATGCAGAAACTGTTACTACTCAAGGAACATCTAGGAGGCTGCGGAAAATGTGCTGGTGGGTCTTGGTGCAAGTTTTAGTGAACCTGTCTGCCACCATGAGCCACACCTGGCAGTAGTTCTCCCCTCCACCTCCATTTAGTGGAAACCTCAGAAAACAAGGCTTGAATGAATGAGCATGGAGGCTCAGGTACCATTTTAAGTAAAACAAAACAAAACAGAAGACCTGCTAGCAGGGCTTAGTTTGTGGGAACGCCTGCCCTGCTCCAGGTGTACCTGTGGGTGAACAGTGTCAGCCTAGGGCTCACAAATGAGGCCTGACTGCATTTTAAAGGAAAAAGGTAGGCACCTTACACCCTGAAAAGACAGACATGCTGTGTTTTACAGGTGTGTTCAATATACTCACACAAAACAAGACAGTAAGTTGTGCTCATCCACCCAGAAGACTGTAGCATTTTCTCAACACATAGAATGGACAACCGCTTTCCAAAACAACAGCAATAATAATAATAATAATAATAATAATAATAATAAAATAAAACAGAAGAGCTGATTCCAGACTGCTGGGTGGTTCATGTTAAAAAAAATAGAGGAGAAAGGAAAAAAAGCTAACACTGTAAGGACTACTATTCCCCTTCAACGCAAAGGCCACATAAAACTGTGTCGTTCAGTTTGGTTTTTACTTCATGCCACCTGTAAACACAAGACTGGATATTCAGTTTCTGGGATGAAATGAAGCAATTTTTACATACAGAGTAAAAGAAAGGCCCTCTCCTGCCTGGATTACACATTATCCAGGGAAAGGTAGCTGGGGAAGGCTCCCTCTCCTCATTTGCTCATTTCATTAGAAAGGTCTTACATGAACAAAAGAGCTTTCAATAAAAGCACAACACATTTCTTGATGTTTCTTCTGCCCTCTGTCTCTCAAGTCTGCTATGGGGACTAACGCCTTCCATTCCTCACCAACAGATACATCACCTTTTTGGCACCATGGATGGAATGTCTTCCTAATGTATAATTTCGCCTTATACAGAAGTCGATTGTCTAATTATTCAATTCCAATAGAATTCCAGAAAGTGCCACAAGACAACTCATATCTTTGCAATCTTCTAGCTAGTTTGTACAACACTGCCACAGGAACCTCCTGGAAAACAGACCATTAACCCTTATTTAGATTCCATAGTGTGTTTCATATAAACAATTCCAATCTCTCTTTCTGGGGGAGAGAATTGAAATCCAAGCCCCAGTTTCATTGATTTTTGGCTCTCAGAGCTCTGAAATGCATGGACATTTCTCTGATTTGTTGAAGAGGTCTTCACTGAACAGCCTGATTAGAGAAAAATTTACTGATTCAATCAAATAGAAAAGGAGAAAAAACAAACAGGTAGTGGTAGATTTCTCAATCTTTGCTCCTGTCCTTGGAGACTTGGGTAGAGTTTTGCTGCTACTGCATTTTTCCCAACTGGATCTTCTTCCAGGCTTCCGATGCTGTGAAAATGCAGGAGTCAAGGATCCCGGCTACTGTAAATGTTCCTCCAATGATGGCACATATCTGAAAGTTACAGAAAAAAAAAATTGTCACTGATGAGACAGACTGTTACACAGCTTGAAACGGAGATGGAAGGTAATGCCTACTGCTAGGATGTCTTCTGGAAGCAGAGTGAGTGCTGAGCAATGGTACTGGAGAGGTAATTACACGAACACCACATTTGGGAAAACCATTCCCTGTACAGCGGAACACCTCTGCTACCCTTAGCCCATTCCTTTCCCTTTCACCTTAGGAAGGTATCGTGAAGCTCCAAGTTGACACGGAATTCACTCTTCTATGCTTGCCAGAGGGAACAGGGCTGTTGCTTCAAGGATAGGAAGGGCTGTGGCAGAGCAAATCTTCTGCTACTGCACGAGGTAAGTTCATTTGCCGCAGGCGAACGGCAGCCCAGCTCTGCTGAGCAAGCAGCGCAGAGTTTGGTTACTCGAGCAACTTCTTCCTCATCTATGTGTTGTGGGGAAGGAGTGCGGACAAGAGGTGAGCGGCTGGGTAGAAAATCACACAGGTTGAAGCTCTCTGTTTACGTTATAGTAGCATAAGCTTGTTGCCCTCAAAAGCTCTACGGACACAATGCCAAGATCTCCCCTATCATAAAACCCAAATCCTAAGAGTCTCTAATATAAATGTCCTTTTTCAGGGCTAAATCCCACATGCTAACACTTAAAAGCTCTGGGTTGCTCATGTCTTCCTAGTGCTGTTTTCTGTTATAAATATCATAGCCTTGTAGTCTTTTCCCCATTTCACAGGATACAGCATTTGCTAACAGGCAAATGACACTTAAAAAGCACGTTAAGGATAGTGACTAACGGAGACGCCAGAAACGTAGCTACCAGTGACACCTACAGCTAAGTCTGTCTAACGCTTTCCATTACAAGGACTATGTGCAGCTGTTACAAAAGCACTGTTAACCTTTAACTGTCTGTGGGCTGAACCCTTCCATGCCACATTTCTCAGAATTATTTAAACACCAGGAAAAAAAACTCAATCAAACAAAAAAACGTAATCATTTGCTAGAACAAAGAGAAAAAAATAATCTCTTAATTAGCAGAATAGCTTCTTTTGGTTCTCCAGTGCTAGTCAAACACAAAAGTAACCAGACAGGTCAAATCAGAGGTACCTTGGCTGGGAGCACCCAAAATTAGGGGCAGCAGGTTTTGACTCTGCATCACACTGCTTCGAGTCCCCTGCTCTACAAGCGGGGACGACGGCTCCTTCGCCCGAGGAGACGGGAGGGCGGCTCGCGGGACGCGCTCGGGGCTCGCTCGGGTTAGCACTGCGGTGCCACACGCCGGCACCAAGGCAGGAGTCACACACAGTGCGGGGGGGACACGGGCTCGTCCGCCCCACCCTGGCACTGAGCAAGGCTGGGCTCACACGGAAAGTGTGACCCGCGATGGAGTAACCTAACAGCCTTCAGCAGCCAAGCGGCGGCTCCACAGGACCTGGCCTTGCCCAACTCCCATGTTTTTGGCTTTGTAACTGGGATGTTCTTGTAAAGGACTGCGTTAAATGTCGCTCACTGTGTCCGAAGGGAACCAGAGCCACCCTAGGCTGCTGTGCCTGTCCCCTCTCCCAGCCAACACTGAAGCCCCCGGACAAAGTTACAGAGAAAATAGCAGCAGCGTCGGCTACGCAGGGAGTTTGCAGCGGCGAAAGAACAAACAGCTCGTTCCTGGTGAGGGGTAAATCCCTCATCTACACACACATTTAAGTGGGATATTTGTGCTTGCTGAGCTCAGCTGGAAGATGCAATAGCGACGGCAAGGCAAGGTTGCCATGGCTGTAGCAGGACAGCTGGCGTTTCAGCAGGTAAAAGCTTCAGAAACCACGGCACCCGCCTGAGGCAAAGCTAGTATTTTTAGGGAGCAAGTCCAGCTCCTGTCATCTGTGCCCTCCTTCACCCCATCCCCACCCCACTGCCCCCCAGCACATGACGCACAGGGACTTTTCAGGGAAAATGACAGCAACGGAGCTGGGTCATTTCAGTCCACAGCAGCTCAGCTGACCAAAGATTTTACACCGCAAACAGCAGAAAACTATCCAACACTAAGATTTTGCATCATATGGTAGGAAAATGTGATTTCAGTGCAGCAGTGCAAGGAGGGGGAGATAAAAAAAACATATATTGGCCTGCGCAGCTCTGTGGTGCCGAGCGCCGGTGACTCACGCGCGGCGCCTGCCTCCCTGCGCGCGCGGCCACGCTCTGTCGCCACAAGAACGGCGGCAGCAGCACCGGGCCCTGGGTCAGCGCAGAAGCTGCACTGTGACATTCCTGTATCATCCGTGTGTGTGCAGCACTCTTCCCTAGCAGTGCTGATGGAAATTAGGCATCACGCACTTGTATTTCATGGTGGTTTATACCGGGAATCATCTAGGCTCGGCCTGAGATGTTAGGGTTTGACTCGGGCCTAACTGCTAAGAGGAGAAAGGAAAAGGAGTCTAGAGGAGTAGTAATCACAGCCATGAGAGATGGCGTAACGGGGTACAAAAGAGGGTTTTTAATAGGATATGATTGCAGTGGCTGTGATGCAGGATGGAGTCTCATGGGAAAAGAAACAAGTGTGACATGTAAAGTATGATCTATCTTAAACCAGTGCCTTCTCTCCTAGTGTGGTACAGAAAGTGAGGGTGATTTTCCATACCCAAACAGCCGAGAAGCAGGCAGGAGCTGGAGTGCGGCGGTTCCCAGGGCAGTGGACGCCCATGCAGCAGTGCCAGGGCTGCTGCTCTCAGCAGTGCTGGCACTGGGAGGGCAAACCCAGTACTGAAGAGCATCTTTCCAGCAGCAGAATGAGATCTCTCTGGCTCTCGGCTGAGCAGCCAGTACCGCTCTCCCACCTGATCGCTCCACGTGGGATCGTCCCTGCTCAGGGTACCGTTCCACGCTGCTCTTCCATATGGGCACTGCTTCTTCCGACAGACAGTCCTGTTCAGCCCCACACCCATTTCCATCTCTGACCCTGACCAAGTCTTTCAAACCCACAGGATCTTCCCCCCACCCCTTGCAAGCCTCTGTGGCCACACACAAATACTGCAGCGTTTTACTGCCCGCCACACGGCACCCCGGTAAACAAGCTGCTCAGTTAAAGGCAGGGGGATCCCCTCAACTTGTGGCTTTTCAAATAAGCAGCTGCTGTTCAGAAAAGCTCCTGGGCTTCCAAGGCCTGTCCCGTTCCCCGCGGCTGCAGCAGCCCCACGCAGATAATCCCTGGCTAGGGCAGGGAGCCGCAGCCTCAGCGCAGGGGTGACGATCGCTCTGGGTCTCCAGAGCAACAGTGATGCAAAAGGCCAAGCTGCAGACTCAGGAGGGGGTTAGGGCAGGGAAAGGACAACAGAGCAGACCATGTCAGCAACGCAGGGCAAGAAAACCTAGGGCATAAGGTGTTTTAATCCACAGCAGCCCTACTCCGTTCCCCTCCAACCTCTTCAAAGCTACCTTGAAAGCTGTGAAGATTAAAGTGTGGCACATGTACAGCTAAAATATTCTCAGTCTGAGTAAATGCAACATGAGCAGGTCACCTGCATCAGGGTCAGGGCATTCACACTGCCAATGATAGTGTCTCTATGAGGGACCTGCCTCTAAGATAGACATAGGACAGGCAGCACGATATGCCAAATCATAAAATGAAGGTGCTGGAGCTTTTTTATAATCATGTTTTTTAAACCAGGAGGCCAAGCTAACAAGAGAAGAGCTTAAGCTTTTAATTTCAACCCCTCCTTAGTATTTGTGTATCCCAGAAACCCTACATAACTCTGAAGTCAAGTGAAAGCAACTTTATGCTCATCAGAAACTGCAAAATCAAAATCTGTAATTTCAGCATAGCTGCAATGTTTGTGTCACTTCCAATTAAAATAGTTCAAAAATCAAAATGCAAGGTCTTCACGACAGCCATTTTTTTCCAACTACCACGCATTCTACAATACCTTAACGGGACAGGAGACTAGACTGCAGCTTATAATTTAAGTCACTTCCCTCAACACACTTTTTTTAAAAGTTCTGGAAGATCTTGAAATAACTCTTTGACTTGCTACCAGTTTGGGCTTGATGGATCAAAATACAGCTGGTCAAAAAAAAAAAAAAAAAAGGAAAAAACCCCACACGTATGGAATTTAGAGCCCTTTGGAGAAGCTCTTCTCTTCTATATAGGTATAAAGACTCAGAACTGGCAAAATCACAATAAACTAAACAGAGTTAAACAACTGCCCTGTAAGAGAGATCTCATCATTAAAGATGGTCTACTGCAGTCTGTTTTATTACATATCATATCACTTTGAATTCCAAATTTCTGGCATTCTACAACAATACCCACTACACATGGAACCTACAGAAGAAGCTGCTTTTCTTTCTTCTAGTGCTCAACTGCTAAATTAAGCTATGGCAGCAAAAGACTTAACAGCTACCTCATTTAGATTTCAGTACAAGTGAGGAGATGTACTGACTTAGTTTCAGCCCAAGATCCCAAAGTTCTGAAGCAGAAATTTACTTCTGAGCAAGCAAGGTCCAGGAAACACATGGCAGGCAGGAGAAGGGAGAGCTGGAGGCTCTGAGTAACTCACCGATGTGATAAACCTGTACAAGGGCTGTCGCCTCTCTGTGTATTTCACTGTGATGGGGCTCAAATCATAGCGGAACCAGATAGCTGGGATAATGCGGCCAGTGTGACTGTAGGCTACATACTCCTGGAACAGAAAGTGAGGGAAAAATGGCATAAAGCATGAGCAATCTCATTCCAGATAGAACATCATTATCAAACAGGAAAACAGGATTGCTGCAGTCTGACAATGACACAGCCTGTAACAACATCTTCATCCAAAGTTACAAGTGAAAATAGACTATCATTGATTTCTCCACTGTAGATCTGCTTTATTTGAATAGAAAGACTTTCTAAGTGGTTGCAGGTGAAGCTTTTGTCCTGTCAGCACGTAAATCATACACTGGGAAACCCATCAAAACAAATGAGATTTAGTCTGCAAGAACACAAGAATCTCTGCTTGTCCATGCACTTGGAATTGGAAGTAACATTTCACACATAAATCATACACTGAGAAACCCATCAAAACAAACGAGATTTAGTCTGCAAGAACCCAAGAATCTCTTGGGAATGCACTTGGAATTGGAAGTAACATTTCCCATGTGCAAGCCCCGTCGCTACCAGAGGGACCAGCAATGCAAATACCTTGCCCACCCAGTGAGAATAATGTACAGACAAATTTAAAACTCACGCTGAAAGCTAGAAGGGGACTACGTACAGAAAAAGATGTCACAAAAGGTCATTCCAAGCTGGTTCAGGAGAGAAACACATTTAAACTGTCTGCAGTAATCTCCTTTAACCTATTTCCCGAACAAATACACTGCAGTGCATCAGCCACAGCACAGCATCCCAGCAAGAGAGATACTGCCGAATGCCAGTATGAAGCACACACGAACACAGGCCCTGCCGGTGTCCGGCAAAAGCAGCAGGATGGGGCTGCCGTGTCTGGTCCGGATGCGTTCAGGGCTCTCCCTGGGGAAAGCTGCAGCACCTCCGTGGACAGGGGCTATCTGAGGAAGGGAGGAAACGGAGGGTCTAGGAGGTAAAGGAGGAGAGGAGTCAACCTGTTCACACTTAACACTCTCTTCATCTCCTCACACTTGGCAACCCATGCCAGTCTATACCAATAGCTTCAGATTTCTGGTTCCCACTAATCAGTATTGCAGTCAAGAACCAAACCAGCAACATGAACATTTTTATTTGTAACAAGAAGAAAATGCAGAAGCAGCACTGCTGCCCTTTTGATAGAACTGACCTCAATTTTTCCTTCCTTTCCCCTTCTCCATCACTATCAGTTCTGCTTTAAGGAGTCTGTCTTGGCTGAAGGTCCCAATTTACAACCATGTTCACATAAGTGTCAAAAGTAGTAGCTCCTGCTGCCCATTTTCCAAATTACTCTCAGAACTTGTGTCACAAGAAACTCAGCAGAACAGGAGTTGTGACATTAAACAGAACAAATACTTTGTAATCGGAAATCCAAATCATTGGGACTGTACAAGTAAGCCCAAAAGTCGCTAGACAGAATGCAAATCTGAGAACTAGCCCTTGAGTGTGCCTGCCTGATTCTCAGTTATGGCAAACTACCAGGTATTGCATACTACAAACAGACTCTGGACTTTCCGCTAGAATCTCAGTAACAAATTACCTTAAATTGAAACAGTGGCTTTACCTTGAAAAGTTCTTTTTTTTTTTAGTTAGATTACATTATTAAAATTATCTACACATTCAATTTTTATGATTTAATAATTACAAAGTTATAACAACTATCAAAATTTACGGTCATTAACTAGGCACGTGAAATAGTCAGCCAGTACATATTTCCTACTGCGAGTCCAATGGCAGTCAGATGATTTAGTATCTGAAACCAACACATAAAATGCAAAAAATGTCAAAAGTGGTATCTTTTTCTGCTAATTCAGAGAGTTTTTCTGCTAATTCAGAGAGTATTATGTCCTTCATTTCTATTTATTTTACTAGCTCAGTTTAGCACTGGCTAGTTTCTCATAAAAAACATATTGAGAAATGGGGAAAAAAAAAAAAAAAGAAATCTACCTGCTCTTCTGACACACATTTGAAATGGTGAAGCGAGAAGGTGAAATCTACTCATTCTAAAATCTTAAAGAACACAAAATCACAAAGCGCTGTTCTTCCCAGTCAGCTTCCTTAATTTCATTAGCTAACTTTGATGTGACATATTTTGATAACTGAATTTTTTCTTCTTACTCACACATGACACTTAAGACTGTTTTATTAATAAGACCACATGAGAGTGTTTGGTATATTAAGTTGGAATCCAATTTCCATTCAAATGCACCTTGATAGAAATCACGGGAGCTTCAGCAGCCCCTGAAAATCTTCCATACAATTTATAGAGACCTAAATCAGTTAAGTTGACATAGGACAAGAGCAGGAAAAAAAATACCATACTCCAGGATAAAAACTTAGCACCACCATTGGCTCTGAAGAACCCTCACCCAACCCCAACCCTAATTAAGACGGCAGCAGGAGCAGCAGGAAGGGCTCTGAAGGGCTTCAATTCCTCCTTCTCCCAGCAGAGGCTACTGCTCACCTACGAACACTCACACACACATGGCTGTGGAGCACAGGAGCTGGAGAGGGGGAATAGTGACAGAGGAACCTCCGTGCACTTGCTGGGCTGCAACGAGGAGCTTCTTGGAGAACCAGCTACTTTACCTTGTTTGCTACAGTATATTGGTACGAGTATCGCTGCTTGCCGCTCATGTCTTCATACACTGTAGGGACTATCTTCAGTATGTAATCGTGAGATGCAAGAGCTGGAGTCAGAAAAGAAAAGGAAAATACAAGTTACAATTTAGAGAAAGGAATAGCAGCCCTGTGTCAGAAATCAAATAAATAAAAAAGTAAGCTCACAGAACAAGTACCTTCTCCTTCCTTACCTCAGGTTCTGTGATGCAGTATCAATTTTGCATCCTATTTATATGTCATTTATACAAAACTTTGCAAGGCACTTGGACACCACCAGAACCTTTCTATCGTTCTAAGACTTCTGTAGTACCAGAACAAAAGGGCATTTCAAATTTCCTAACTGCTTCCATCTATAAATGATGAGCCCCACAATACTACAAAAACTGTCCTGCTTAAGTCAAGCACTAGCTGCATTTGGAGCTGCAGCTCACTGTGCTGCTTCTGATAGAAAGAGGCCAAACACCAACAACCTATATAGTGCCATCTCCTCTGTGTAGTGGCACTGTGTAGTGTAGTGGCACTCTACGTTGTTGCCTTCTCTTCCTGTTGCTTAACAGCTACTCTTTTTTTTCATGATTATAACTGTTTTGGCATTCTTCTATCTGTGGAAATGGTTGTAAAGCTCTTCTCTTGACTTTTGAAAAGATAAACAAACAAGAAAATCCCCCACAACTATCTAGCATCAGGAACCACCATGAACACTCTATTCCAAGAAACGGACAAGATGGAGATCCCTCAGGAACTTCGATATTTGAAAGAAAAACATTCAGCTGAATTGCAGCATGCACTGAAAGTTTCTTTTTGTGCAGCTGCTTGTAAAGAAACATGGTGAAAAAGTTGATTCCTTCCAGCCACAGGGTGGGAGACAAGGTAACATGTATCTTGTATTAACGAGAAAAGGAAAAGCTGTCATGGTGGTGGCAGCAGCAAAGCAAGCTATAGGAGTAGGACATGGATAAAACACTCAATAAATCTATACCAGAGGATCATAAAGGAGCTGGAGACAATGCCCAGGTTGCAGAAAGACTGCAACGGCTATTTGGGACTAAGACTTCTCAGTAGCGGACAGAATGGAGATGTCAGTCAGCAACGTCTGGATTGCTTTGATTAATGGGGAAAATTAAAGACTCCTGGATACACCAGCGTTGCATTAATAACACTATTTTCCCTACTGCAGCAAGTTGGCTAAAACCTGTAATCACCAAGCATACATACGATTTGAGGTGAGTTTGTCTGCTCCCTCCAAGGCATTGAATGCTCCATGAATGTTCTGGACCTGGAAAGCATAAAAAGCACTTGAACAAGCTATGGTCCGCAATCTTGACCTTTGCTTCCTTATTCTCTCCTGTAACAAAGAGTTCAGCCTGATTCAACCTTTCCAAAAACAAACTCTCAATACAACAAAAGACAGCTTGAAATATCTTTCAGTGGCCATCAACGCTGGGGTTGGTTCCAAGTGAAAAAGTTGATTTCCCAATGCTTTACACAATGAAACTCCAAAACCACTCTAAAGTTAAAGGAGTTGCAGTTGAAAGATGTCAGTTACAAAATAAATCACAAAGAAATTTCACAAGAGCTTTGCATAGTTTACTGTGAAAATTATTTATCAGGCTCAAATGAAAATAAATGGGAACCAGAGGCAGGTTAAAACTCAAAGTCCTCCTGCAAAAGCAGCTCATGTAAGAACTGCTGGATTTCTACAGCTTCATCTCATCCCATCCCTTACCACACACACTGTCCTTGAAATGGAAAGACCACATGCCAGTTCTGCCACTCACTCAGCGTTCCTTGCGGCCAGGCACACAAGTGCCTTGTGTTCCCAGGCACACAAGTATCTGTTTGCCCAGATCAACAGGGTTTGATCCATACCTTACGCACTCTATTTTCTTGTAGAGCCTAGTGTCCGCCAATAGACTAACCAATTTGTGAATCCTACAGCCAGGGAAAATTACACAGCAAGAGCTGTAGATTTAGGGTTGCATCATTCACATAACATACAGAAGGAACAAATAACTCAATAACCTAAAAATTCCTGACCTTAAGCCAGACCACAGGGTGTGTTCTGACTTTCACCTCATTAAGAGGGTGCTGCACAAGTAGCTATTTCCCAGACCCTCTCAACAACTGATAGCAAGTGGATTTATTTGTCTGATCCTAATTGCTGTTTCCCCATTCAGAATGCCACAGAGCAGATGACAGTCTGGAGGAAAAAGCAACTGAACCAGTTTCTCACCTGAGAAGGGAAATTCTAGAGAGAGGAAAAAAAAAAACAAAACAGCAAGCTCATCTAGCAAGATGCTGGTTACAGACACAGTGCAAAAGCACCAGCTCAGCTTTCTGCAGGGCTTTTCACACTGCTGGCATCTCAAGGATCTTACAGAATAGCAACCATGTCAGAACTATCCACGCAGACTGTACGTGTTCTTTACTCAGCTATCATACACATACAGATGAGGACAGTGGAAAAACTAAGAAAGAGAAGCCACTGGAGCAGGCTATAGTATTATGCTGCATTCTGGATGAAGCTCAGAAGTTAGCCCCTTACCACATACCTGTGCTAAAAATTTTAAGATTCACTCAAAAATATGCTACTGTGAATATTTAAGCGACTTCTCAGCAAGCAACTGCTATATCTGTTCTGTTCAGTATCTTGCCCTGTGCTCTCCAGCATCCACATTAGCCTGGGAAAGAGCAGCCTTATTTCAGACTCTGCTTGTATGTAAAGATTGTCTGCTCTTTATCTCTCCACTCAAATTGGGTTGTAAATCACAGGGCTTCCACACAGACAAAGCCACCACAGATATCCACAACTGCCTATTTGTACATCAGCAGATCATTTGGTACATCTACCTCTCTGGTCTTTGCAGCATGGGTGGCATTTCTAACTCCCAGCTTGATATTCTACTCTGATTTTCCTTGTGGACTCTTTCGGACTCCCATTACAATCCTTGCTGTCCCAAAACCGCTAATTAATCTCTGCACCATGAATGGCACAGGTATGTTCTTGAGGGCACATACTTGCACCTTGTTAAGTGTCTGGGGGCACCTCATCAAGCCAGACGATTTTGGCCACAGTGGCAAAATTACTTTGCAACAGAGAACTTAATTGAGCTTGTTCAGCCAGACATCCTCAGGACTGTGCTGCAGCACCAAGGCCAAATCCAGTGCTTCACCACTGGAACTCAAATGAAAACCAAGCTAATCAGAGGTCTAGAATGCCAATGCCTTATGCTCCTGCTAGATGGACCTCAAAAAGAAGCTTGCCAGGGCCTTGAGCACCCTGGACTTTAACTTCTACACGAGCATACCGAAAAATATAACTGAAAAGCTGCTGGACTGATCAGGTAAAGCCCAAGAATAAGCTAATATAACTTCCAACCTTGCACCTATAAAGGGAAAACAAGCCTTCTTACAAAGTTTAAATTAAGATTATTCAACATGAAGATCTGGGATATTCGATGAGATCACTCAAGAGAATTCTATAATAATAAAAATAAATAAATAAAAAGCAATATCCTACTTTCTGCACTCGTTTTAGTGTGTAACCATACTTGGGTTTGAATTTTGGTCCTGTCTGCACTAGGGAAGATCTACAAAAAGTTTGTCACTAGTGTGCATGAATGACTGTTGGAAGAACTGAAGCTTAATGGAGGCCAGATCAGATTTAATCCTCCATTTCAAATGAACTGTTTTTTTCCTGGAGACAACAGCATGTACCTTAGTGGATCATTCCGGCAGAGTGAGTAGCAACCTACGAAAGAACAGAGCCCCAGCACATGACACGAGTGAATGAGACAAACTCCTCAACCCATTTATGAAACATGAGCATATATTACATCAGAACAGGTGGAGCCAAAACAAAAGATTCCAAGGTATATCAGACAGATTTAGGGCTCTCCATAACACCAGCTCTCTGCACTGCTTGCTGAGTTTCAATAGCACCTGTAGAGTAAATGTGTCCTCCTTTAACTTGAGCTTTTGTGTTCATCTGCCTACTGGATAGGCAGCTCTACTCCACTCGTGTGTGTGAAGATGAGTAGCTATTTTCACCTCTGAAAGCACTAACAGAACTTGTCCAAATCATGAGTCAAATATGTGTGCACTAGGCAGGTTTCTCACCACCAGCAAGGAAGACACCTGCTATCACAAACCTGCTCCTTTGCCCTGAACTG